GTGCCTGGCCACACGGCAGGAGCCCGGTGAGGTTACAGAGAGACCGAATGAATAAATGAACGAATGAATGAGAGCCAGCCCGCCAGCTGACCAGTACGCACTAGGGGCCGTATACACTGGAAAGCCACCCCCACCCGCACCAGCTCTCGGAGAGCATCGCGCCCAGATGGTCGGGGCGGCCGGCTACCAGGGTCAGGCCTCAGGGAAGCCCGCGTGAAATGGCATGAGCGTGGTGTGGGGTTTACCTGTCATTCAAGGAGTCTAGGCATTAACACAGCTGGCTTCCCTTCCTCAAGCTGTGCAAACGCAGTGGCAAGTGGCAAGAACAGATTTTACACAGGCACCTTCACTGTCATCTATATTGATGAAAATGACAAATATCGTTAGCATCTTCGGTTAGTTTGACTTTAAGCAGCAGTTAGTAAATACAAAACTCCAACCGCGTCTCACGGCTCTATGGACTCACCACGTTAGCACCCTCAAGCCGCGGTGGGAATGCCCTCACAAGTTAGCACAAATTCCCAGGGTCAAAGCTGCTTTCCAACCAGTGAGTTTAAATGAGGCCGAACTAGCAAAATCCACTCGCGTCAGTGGACGCTCGGGTTCCTCAAAGGTTTGACTAACCTGGCTTACGGTCAGACCTTGAAGATAACGCCCAACTGCTAATCAGCAAGACAGCACTTGGCAAAGCCACTGTTGCCAAACACTCCTGCAAGCCCTGGGGATTTTATAAGCCTTTTAGGGGATGACACAAAATAATTTAAAAATAAAATTTCAGCATCATGCACTTAGCAATACGAGCATTAGCTACGTGAAGAACTAAATCAGAGACTGTGGCAACCCAGCCTGTGAGGGGAGAGCCAGTTAAAGACAGAAGAGCCAATGCAAGTGATTTCTGTTAAAGAGCCACAGCTGAAGGGTCCACAGTACATGGGAGACGTAGTGGCCTAATCGGGTAGGTTTGAGAACACCTAGCACATTCCATAAAGACTCTGAGGCTACGCATACAGGCTGTAGGATGCTCA